GCTTCAGCCTGGAGGTCAGCCTCTTAAGGATTCTTTCGGCAGGGTGGTGAACTGCAGAGGGGTAGGCTTGATGGGGGCTCACGAGGCTGCTGTTCACCCCCATCCCTTCTTGTAGAAAGAGCTGCTCACATGAAGCTCACATGATGATGCCACCCCCACCCCCCTCCTGGGTTACTTGCTGTGGATGGTAACCAGAGGCAGCACTGCCAGGAAAGCCCCCAGGCTGCACGAGTGGGCTGTGCATCACAGCAGGCCTTGCGCCCACCTGTGTGTGCTGCTTTGCCCACAGGGTGCAGGCCGGTGCCACTGCCGCGTTGTGGCATATGCTTGAGTGAGTGGCAAGCAGGCATCAGGTGGAAGAGGGAGTGACATGAAATGCCGGAGGACAGAGCTGTGTGTTCCGTGGGGACCACCCCGCACCCCTTCAGAAGCCTGGCGCCCTGAGGTGCAGAAGAGGACCCTATCCTGATTCAGCCGTTAGTTTGATCTGTTTCTGTATGTGGAATGGGGAGGGTGTGGGGGTCACCTTCGCCTTTGCCTCAGGCAGCAAAATGTCTAGAGCCAGTCCTGCTTACAGTTGAGCATCCCTTTCTTACCTGGTCCTCTGATGCCCATAGCCTACTGCAACTCACTGCATTCGTACATTCTTCTTTTCTTTTGTCTAGCTGCATCCATCTGGGTATTTCCTGTACATGCTGATGCTAAAATTAAGTTCTTGCTGAGCTCTTTTCTGGGTGAATAATGGCTGTGATGAAGGATGACCGAATGGTGCAGGGTTCAGTGGAGTGGCTGAACGCCCATCAATCTGGACGGGATTCCAGTTTCTCAGTCATTTGCACCTCAGGGATCCCACCTGGGACAGGATGCTCAAGTGTGTGTTGAGCTGATGGGGAAGCTGGGGGACGAGCAAAGGGATATTTGCTTTGGCAGCTCCACTGAAGGCCAAAAGCTGAGATCTGTGATGATAAGTGGCTGTATTTAAACTCTACTCTTTCCCTGGCGGTGCTTGCAGTGGAGGGTTAGGGGGTGAAGGCTTTTTTTCCAGAGGAGAGTAAAGACTTCCAAGCCAGTCTTCTCCTCTGGCCGTTTGCCCAATGACTTCTGCAGGCGAAAACGATAAAGGGAGTCCTTGCAGTAGCCAGACCAACTTCCAGGCGGGATGAGGGCTATGCAGGACAGTGGACTTGCCTCAGGAATGGGTGGAAAACAACTAAATTTGGAAATACAGAAAAGCTAGGTGGGCAAATGTTGGGAAGGGCCTGGAGCTCTCCTTCCTCCACTGCAGGGGTGGCAGCAAACAGTTCTTTTAAAAAAGAAATTATTCTGTGAACTGCCCTGACACCTCCGGGTATAAAGGTAAAGGTAAAGGACCCCTGACAGTTAATTCCAGTCGCAGACGACTCTGGGGTTGTGGCGCTCATCTCACTCTATAGGCCAAGGGAGCCACCATTTGTCCGCAGACAGTTTTTCCAGGTCATGTGGCCAGCATGACTAAGCTGCTTCTGGTGAAACTAGAGCAGCTCACAGAAGCACTGTTTACCTTCCCGCCAGAGCGGTACCTATTTATCTACTTGCACATTGACGTGCTTTCGAACTGCTAGGTTGGCAGGAGCAGGGACCATGCAACAGGAGCTCACCCCGTCGCGGGGATTTGAACCGACGACCTTCTGATCGGCAGGCCCTAGGCTCTGTGGTTTAGACCACAGCACCACCTGCGTCCCTCCGGGTATAGGGCGGTCTATAAATTCAGTAAAAATAAAAATAAAAATGTAAGTTCCTCCCCTGAAATCTGGCAGAAATCCCACCAATAGGAGCATAGGAAGCTGCCTGATATTGAGTCAGACGATGGGCCTACCCACCTCAGCATTGCCTGTGCCAGGGAAAGCCAATGTTTGTGGACTACAACTTCCATCATCCCTGACCTGCCGGCTGGGGCTGGTGGGAGCTGGAGTTCACCAACATCTTGAGGACACCATGTGGCTGTCCCTGTTCTACGCTGACTGGCAGCGGCTTTCAGGTAGGGGCAGCGGTGGAGCATGCTCCCATGGCCCCCAGGGCAGGGTGCAGAGGGCGCTGGAGCCCGCTGTGCCTGGCCAGGCCTTGCCATTCACCCTCTGCAAAGGCCAAGAGGGCTGGCTGGGCTAACCCTTTTTAACTTGACAGAGTCTGGCTTATGAAGGCACATAAGCTCCACATGGCCAGTTGTTAGTTATTGGAAGAGCCCAGCTCCTTGGCTCTGTGTAAGGCAGCTTCCTGCTTTGGCTCCCTACCCTGACGGGCCTTTTGCTATCTTAACCCTGCCCTGGGCATCTGCCTTCCCCCTCAGGGACCAAGCCAGGACCAGGTCAAGGCAAGAGAAATATGTGCAGCTGGGAGCACAGATTGTACCATGAACTGAACAAGATGTTCGACCGCTTAAGCTTTTTCCGTTGCTTTAGTTGCATGTGGCCCTGGAGGATCCAATCTGTGGCTGATGTTCTCCAGGCATATGATGGAGGGGGCTTTGGCCCATAAAAGCTTATGCAACCATAAATGTTGTTTGTGCTTAAGGTGCTGCAACTCTTGGGTCCCGTTTTGCCTGGGCTTTGTTGACAAGTCAGCAGCAAAGCTGTGTGGATGACAGCCAGGGCATGCCGTGGTGCTGCTCTCTCGGGAAGATGCAGTTTCTGCCTTCCCGCTCTGCACCTCAAGAGTGAAGGTGCTCGGGACAGCTTGCCACTGCAGGCACAGCCCCAGACTTGTGTGTGTTGAAGGGGGGGGGGGGAGGAAGAGAAGCTAATTTGCTGTGACTTAAATGGAAAATATTCTCAGCTGGGCACAGAGCTTTCTCTGAGTTATTGATTGCAGCTTCAGCCCACAGTGAATGTTCCTTTGCGGGTGACGGTGTGATGGAATTCAGTTTAATAGGGCAAACAGGACGTCAATGTGTTGTGCATTAAACATGCCCTTTCTCTCTCCTGCTTGGCTCTGTTTGTTGCTCAAGCACATATGGCCCTTCAGCAGGACTAGTCAGTCTGCAGATTGCACCATGCTTGAAACATGGTGCATCATCCGTGCGCCCTTTTCTTGTCGTGCTACCTTCTTGGTTGTACATGGTGCTTTGCAGAGTAAAGGAAGCAAAGGGAAAGACCTGCCCTGAGAAGAGTTCAGAGTGTAAATTTCAAAGCAAGGGAGATGACAGAAGAAAGGAACAGCAGAGATGGGTGGGAAGAGACAGAGGTAGGAGTAACAGGCAACTGGGTTGGAGTTTAGCAAAGTCACTTAAATAATACAGGCAGAGTCCAGAGAGGAAAGCCCTGATAAACACTTTACTGAGCAAACTGAGCAAAAACAGTGTATAATTTGAGAAGAAAGGAGCAGACCTTGTTTATAGCAGGCAGGCATATAACCAGACATACAGAAGAAAAGCTTTTGCAGAACTGTACAATCAGCACTTCAGCAAAGATTAAGCCATTCTGCCTGGTTGCTAAGCAACATCTCCATCATTCCCCTTCTTAGCTAGTCGACTTTAACACCAACAGAATTAACCCCTGAGTTATACACTGAATGATCTCTGCTGTTGCATTTCCAACATGAGACACATCCAGTTCCACATACTTAGGTTTAGTTTCTGAAAGGAGTGAGGGACAAAGGAGTTAATCTGAGGGCTTCACAGAAATGGTGGATTTTGACCGGTATTTAAAGTGGTGGTGTTGGTGGGGGAGGTGTGGCCCTGTGTAGGTCAGGAGTGGGGCACAAGCCTTATCAGCCAGAGGGCCACATGACCTCAAAGACAACCTTCTAAGAACCACTTGCATTGTGCGCGGGGGGGTGGGGGGTGCCAGAGGCAAAAATGAGTGGAGCAGGCAGTGTGACTCTTCTTAGCTTTATGTGTAACTTCCAGACCTGCAAAAGCCAGAGTGGGGTGACTATATCTGCAACTGCTCTGCTTTGTGCTTCTGGATTGCTGACAGCTGCAGGTGGAGAGAGGAGAGAGTGATCCTGTGCTCATGTCCTGCTCATGGGTTTCCCACAGGCATTTGGTTGGCCACTATCTGTTTCTTTAAAATTCCACTAAATTGAAGCCACAGTTGGAAATGAGAGATCTGCAGTGAGATGGAGAGGAACATTTGACCTTTTGGTCCCACCACACAAATGTGCACAAACAACCCACACAGCGCTTGGCTCTAGGGAGAGGGGCAATCCTGCCTGTCTGGCTGCAAAAGTTCACTTGGGGTTCCAGAGTTTTGGAAGTGGCATTGCTCTTCTGTTTCAAGTTGCAAGCAAAACTGCAAGGATTGGGTGCTACTAAAGCTCCTATATCTAGGATCGCTCACAGTGCAATCCTATGCAGGCCTGCTCAAAAGTCAGGGTGATCAAGGTAAACCTTGGTTTTTTGATTGCTGCCTCAATGCAATTGACAGAAGATCACAACTTAAGAGACTGTGAGTGTAGACTTGAACAAGCTTGTTTGTGCTAAATTCAGATGCCGTTGGGTGAAATGTATGTACACACATACAGTATGTACACACATATAGGGATATGCAATATCCCTCCATCTTTGGCCACAGGACACTTGGCTATTGTTGTTTTCTGTAAGAGGCTAGCACTCATTTATTTCTCAATTATTTCTTTTTATTATAAAGCTTTGCAATAGAAAACTATCTGCAACAGGAAGTTGCAACAGGAAAATAACATTTTATCTTTCCTCCCACTTTTGTTACGAAGACAGCAGATGACCCCTTTCCACTCCCTGGTTGCTGACACCAAGACCTGCAAATCATAATGCCAACCTATCTATTAACCCCTATTAATAATTTATCTCTTGACCTTTCCCACGATTATTTTTTTCAAGTTGATGCGTGCTGCATCAGTGTTCATGTCTTATTAATTTTGTGGTATAAGAAATGAAGTCGTTCCATGCAGTGAAATGGGATTCTGCTTTCACCTGTCCTATGATCACATGTGCCTGATGGGTAAGAGTTTTAAAAATTCCTTTTCCCATTTCTTTTGACTTCCAGCTTTAAAGATGAAAATAAAAGAGGTAAAAAAAGAAAATGGAGACAAGAAGATCATCCCCAAGAAGAAGAAGCCCTTGAAATTGGGCACCATCAAGAAGAAAGATCTCAAGAAGCTGGTGCTCTATTTGAAGAACGGGGCAGACTGTCCTTGCCACCAACTGGACAACCTCAGTCACCAGTTTCTCATCATGGGGCGCAAAGTGAAGACCCAGTACCTTCTGACGGCCATCCACAAGTGGGATAAGAAAAACAAAGAGTTCAAAAAGTTCATGAAGAAAATGAAAAGTCCTGAGTGCCCCACATTCCACTCCGTCTTCAAATGATCAGATGGTGCCAGGATTGGAACATTTCTTCTCTTCTCTTTGTTTTGTTTTGTTGCTGGCCCTGAACCTGCACAGACTTTCTTTTGGACTTGGTGGCTCATACATTTTGGCTCCTTCTGCCCTGGTGGACACTGAACTTTGATCCCTTGTCGTTTCTTTCTCTTTGTTCCTTTAGAGCAGGGGTGGGCAACCTCCGGCCCAGGTCCAAATGCAGCCCTCCAAGCCTCTCTGTCTGTCACTGGGGACACATCTCCTCAGCCACGCACCCCTGCCCAGGCCATCCTGGAAACGAGGAGACTGAGGGGATATGAGAGCCGTCTTCAAATATCTCAAGGGCTGTCACATGGAAGAGGGAGCTCTGGAGGGTAGGGCTCAAACCAGTGGATTCGAGTTACAAGAAATGAGATTCTGACTAAACAGGAATAACTTTCTGACAGTAAGAGCTGTTCAACAGGGGAACAGACTCCCATGAGAGGTGGTGGATGGGGGCAGATTTGGGTAATCTTTGAGCCAGGCTAAAATTTGGCACCCCAAATGAATCTTCTCAGTGATGGATCTTCTCAATGTTGTGCCCCCTTAGCTCAGTGCCCTGTGCAGGGCACTGCCCTAAATCTGGTGTTGCGTGGACTCTCCTTCTTTGGAAATTTTTAAGCAGAGGTTGGATGGCCATCTGTCACGCATGATCTAGTTGAGCTTTCTGCAATGCGGGGGGTTGGAGTCGATGACCCTCTCAATTCCTTCCAACTTTATATATAATTCTATGATTCTATAAACCCCTGACTGAGGTGATTTTGAAAGGAAGCACTTTCAGCAGAGCTGTGCTGGCTGCTCTCCAGTTTTCAGGGAGAAATCTTCAATGTCACTGGGGTGTAAGTTTTCACTAAAAAAGTAAGATTTCTGAATAACCTCCTTTTTCTGATTCTGTCATTTCTCCTGGCTATTTCTTCAGTGACCATCCATGTGGATGATCCCACCCAGTAAGGAATCCTGTGGTGAATGGGATAGTGTCATAGCAAGAGGTGGCCAGTTAGATTTTGCTGTGTGATGATGCCACTGTAGGTAACTGAGGGCAGTATAACGGAATATATAACTGAATAGAAATACATCTCTCTCTCTCTCTCTCTCTCTCTCTCTCTCTTTCTTTCTTTCTTTCTTTCCTTTTGGCAAGGCAAAAACATCGACAAAAACTGTGAGGTATTTCAACTCAGCTTTAGTCTGTAAAAAAACAAAAACTCAGCTTTAGTCTGAGTGTCTGCAGGTGCAACAGGAAGTAATGAGGACCCTAAGACCACCCACATATGTCATGCTTACTTGATGTGTTTTAAATCATTTCATTGGATCATAGAGTTGGAAGTGAACTTAGAAGACTACCTAGTTCAGTCCCTCCCTGAAAGGCCGTCCAGCCTCTGCTTAAGAAACCCCTCACAAAGGGGTGTCCACCCCCTTCCAAGTCTGTTCCACAGCTTGTAACATCAGGAAGTCCTTCCTAACGAGGGGTCTGATTGTGTTTTGTTTTGGAAAGCGGGGATTTGATAGATTCATCTTTAAATGGGAACTGAATTGAATTTCTCCCCTAATCATAGTTCAGTGTCCCCTGCCGGAGGACCCTCATTAATTCACATTAGATTGGTAGAAATCTCTCCCCTTTGGCTCATCAATTCAGTTTTGAAAGAAGGAAGCTCAGAAGAGCTTCTTTCTTCTGACAAAATTTCCACATAGGTGGTTGTTGAAAGATGGAGTTCAATGCCCCATCTGGCTCCTCTTCTGCTTCCACAGCTCGGCTAGTATTTCAGCCCACATATCATCACATGAACCAGCAGAAGGTTGTGTGCAACCCTCACACTCTCCTGTGGAATAAATGGAAACACTTGGGTTCCAGTTGCCTCCTCAAGGCAGACGAAGGGAGGGGAGAACCATGGTCAAAACAGTTCGAGAACCCCTGGGTTCCACTCCATTTGTCCTGTGTGTTGCCAAGGCACAGGATTAAGCAGATAAAGAGTTAATTGTTAAATTGGCAGAATGGGGGTAGAGTAAGTTTAATAATGCCATAGTTCAGAAATGACTGGTGTCTGTATTTGGGGGGGGGCATTCTTTAAATCAGCCTTCCCCCAACCATTTGTTTGACACTACAGCTCCCCTAATTTCTGACCATTGGATTTGCCACCTAGGTTGGGGAGGCTGCTGTACACAATGGTCTGAGGGCTCGGAGAAAGAAGTGCATTTTGCTGCAGAAACAGATCCTTCTGGAATGTTCATAGAATTGTAGGGTTGGAAGGGACGAACCCCCTCCAGTGTGGGAATCTTTTCCAACATTGCCCAATGTGGGGCTTGAACCCCAAAACCTGAGGTTAAGTCTCATGCTCTATCCAGGGGCGAAGGAAGGCTCTCCGGCACCCAGTGTGGGGTGTCGAGGGGCGGGGCAAACCGCCCGGCAGTGCATGCGCGGCACTGATACACTCAAGCGCCGTACGGATGGCGGTGGGATCTTCTGCTCACGGCGGCGGGACGAGCACCCCGCGGGGTACCTTCTTGTCACCCCCCTCAGAGATGGCACCCAGTGTGGACTGTCCCCTGCCCCCTTCCTCCGCCACTGAGCTGTCCCAGGTGCCATCCAGCATTAACGGCCTCACAATTATGGAGCACACCATGCACTCAGGAACAGCATATTACATACCAATATAATTTTTACATTTACAAATTGCTTAGGGAAAGCAAAAGAGATGTGTAGCATTAAAGTATGGAATATGTATTGCAACTTGAAAACATTTTTATCGTCCTTATGAATGAAGCTTTTTACTGCATACTGACTTCACTTTTGACAGCATCACCAGAGGCTAGATGAACATTGCTCTGGGGGCTGAAAGTGGCCCATCCTTGTTCTAGTTATTTACTGAAAAGTGTAATCTAATGAACTGTTGCTAATTAATGTGTCAAGTTACTTTAGCTGTGCTTGGACCTTGCTGGGTTCCTTTTTATTTCCCAGGAGGGAGAAGTTACATGATTGTTTATAACCCCTTTCCTTGGATTTTGTTTTTGGTAGCTTTTTCTAGTTTTAAAGTATGCTATTTTCTTGTTTCCTGAACCCCACCCCCTCTTAAATTCAGTTATTTTGTTGTTAAATGTGAGATATGTTGAGGTTTAAGAATGGAGTTTGTGCTTTTTTCTTCATTATTCTATTAATATTGATTTTCATAAAAATAACAGAACCCAAGAAGCAGAAAAATACATCCAATGCCATATGGCAATCTTTTTAGGCTACTTGTAAATCTTTGTATTACTCTGAAAAACAGATGTGGGGCATCCCTGGCCATTAGTCAGGCTGGCTGGAGCTGGTGGGAGTTGGAGTCCAGTAACATTGGGGGAGCTGCAGGTCCCCCACTCCAGCAAAGGCTCTATGGAGAGAAGCAGTCTCAACATTTGCCCAACCCCAGCAGCCCCATGATTCTCTGTACAAGGTCTCTGACACAAAACACAGACTTCTCTTTCCAATACCATTTAAAATGGGATCAGGTATCAGTTCCTCATGGATGCTGGGAAGGGACAGAAGACACATCCATTGTTCAAAGCTGAGAAAGCAGGTGGCCTGGTTGGGGCCTCTGCACTCAGCACAGCCAAATTCTGCCCAACCATGGCTCCCAGGTACCTTGACTCACCACCCGCCCCAAACCAGAGCTGCCACAATATCCCAGACTTCCCCAACCTGGTGCCCTCCAGGTGTTCTTGAACTCTAACTCCCATCAGCCCCAGCTAGCATGGCCAGTAGTCAGGGATGATAGGAGTTGTAGTCAAACAGCATGTGGGGGGACGGGACACCAGGTTGGAAACAGGCATAATATCCATTGTGAGAGCTGGTGTGGTGTAGTGGTTAAGAGCAGTGGACTTGTAATCTGGGGAACCGGGTTCGCGTCTCCGCTCCTCCACATGCAGCTGCTGGGTGACCTTGGGCTAGTCACACTTCTCTGAAGTCTCTCAGCCCCACTCACCTCACAGAGTGTTTGTTGTGGGGGAGGAAGGGAAAGGAGAATGTGAGCCGCTTTGAGACTCCTTCGGGTAGTGATAAAGCGGGATATCAAATCTAAACTCTTCTTCTTCTTCATTGTTATATGAGGCAATATGAGACATTTACAAATTGGCTAAATATATGCAAATATTTCCAGTTTGCATATTGGATTCACATCTAAAAGTTATGCATTTTTATTGTGGCTTTATAAAGAAAAACGGAAATTGTGTATAAGATCCCCCCAACATAAAACTGGCAAGCCAAAAATGAGGGGAGCTTTTTGCCAGTGGCAATTCTGGGAAATGCGGGGTGGGGTGGGGTGGAGAGAGCAAGAATATGAAGAGCAGGGATACTATAAATGCATTTCCTCTTGGGGAGTAGAGAGGTAAGACATGCTCAAGGCAAATTTGCCTGGTCTCTTCCTATTTCCCTCCCAATCACAGAATCAAGCTTTTCCAGTTCCATTTTGTGGGACTACTGGGCAGAAGAATCGGATTTGTTCCATGTAGTCAGACCCAACTCAGATGCTTATTTTTGCTGTGATCTTGCCCATTTCCAATGGGGCTTGAGCAGGAGAATTGTCCACATAGATTGTGCTCAATACTGATAAGGGTGTTGAATAAAACGTTTGGATTTTCTGCCAATGGCTGCAGTCCTATGCGCCCCTTTTGGGTGTAAGCCCTGCTGAACTCAGTGGGACTTACTTTGGAGTAAGCATGCATGGGATCAGGCTGTCCTGCACTGAGTTCTTGGGGTGACCTTCGTTTGTCGGAATACTGAAGGCAACCTATTGGTTTCCGCACACACAACATTTTTCTGTGCTATCTTTTCAAGTGGCAAGTTTCATTTTCTGCCCCACCTCCCCAGTGAAGGGGAATGATGGATCTTGTCCAAGTGCAGAGCAATGTATGTGGCAATGAGCTAGCTTTGGCTCTGAAGGGAAGCACCTGTTTGAGTGGGGAAAACAAACCTGCATTTGGTTAACACGCTGCCTCCCTCAGTCCTGCGATGTAGTGGCTCTGGGTCTCTTAAGGAGTGTCAGTAGAGGTCATTGGATCAGCAAAGTAATCAATAAATGTGCAGGGATGTTCTGGAAGCTCCAGCACATTCTCTTGGGAGCCATCACTAGGCCTCCCCCCCCCGCCCATATCAGCACTATCAGCTACACATTGGGGCCAGTGATTATCTGTGTGCAGGTCATTGCACAAGGGAAGGACTTCTCCCTGAAATCCTGGTCTGCCACTGTCAGTCAGTGTTGATGATATGGAGAAAGATGGGCCCATGATCTGGCAAGGCAGATGGCAGCTCCCCCTTTTCCTAGGTCAGTGGCAGAAGGTCCTAAGTCTAATCCCCAGCATCTCCAGCTAAGAGGATATCATCTAGCAGGACTAGGAATGCCCCTTGCCTGCTTCCTTGGAGGTCTGCTGTTGAGTGGAACCAATGGAGTCGAGAGAGGATGAGGTCACCTCGGGTGTTTGCAAAACATGCAGCCTGACCCTGCGCAGAAGAGAGTTGATTGGGTCTCACTGCCAAGGAAGCAGGCACAGGCTTGCAACTTTAGGGCCCAGGCCAATTTCCGAGGATCTGGCTTTCAAGGAAGAAGAGACTCCAGCACATCAGTGGCTGGAGCTGGTGCCCAGAATTGGACACACTGTTTGATTGAACCACTTCACTTCTATGTGCAGGCTCATACTTCTTCTGTTTCCCTCTCAAGTGCTTTCCCTGTGTCTATTCACATTCATTTAACTAAAGTTTTTATGAGTGTTTTTATGAAGAAATGTTGTTTTCTAACCCTAGTTTGTTGTGTTTCAAGCGACCTGAGTGATCACCTGTAAATAAATCCATATTTAGGTTTTGTATCTGTATCTAAGTTTTCGCCCTTCCTTTAACTTAAGGGCCTTTTCTGGGGCTTGAGATAGATAATAGTTCCCCCCTCCCGCCCCAATCGGAAAACAGTTTTCAAGAGGGATGACTGCTCTTAGCACATTTCTATCTCTGGTTAAAAGTTTTTGTACGGGTTTTCTTTGCATGGTTTGATAATGGTGCAAAACCTGTTTGATCAGGAGTGACAGCAGGACAAAAAAAAAATGTATGTGTCCATACTTCTGACTGTGTTAAAAATGCTGCATTATCTTATTTATGCCTCTGTGGGTCACCATGGAAAGGAGAATGAAAGCCTTTGGAGGAAAGTGTCCCATCTCTCTCTGGTCCAGAGGCGCCAGCTTCCGAAGGAGAATTGTGGGGGTGTTGCATGTGCAATATCACGACGCGGAAAGAGCTGTAGGTGGAGCTGGATGTGGTGGCCATGGAATTTCAGTGGCCTCCTGCTGCTGCTCTTGCCACCACCACTGATCGGGGACTGCTTCCCCGCTCTTTCCCTTCCATGGCAGGAAGAGCAGAAGGAGCCAGCCACTGAAGCCACACTGCGCTTGGCTCTGCGCTCAGCCTCCTTGGCTGCCTTTGAACGTGGGTGTGTGTGTGCTGCCCCCCAAATCTCTTCTAGCACACCCACCCAGCTGCTGATTGAAAGGTTCATTATATCCCGATATCAACAGGTCACCATCCGCCATCACAGATCTCGTGACACCTGTGTGTAAAATGCTGTGTCACTGAATTTAACGCAGCCAGACTAACAGGACTGGGAACAGATGCCTTGGCCTCCCACCTGAAGGTGGCCTTGACTGGAACGAAATATTAACGCCAGACTAAACATTTGCATGGCTCTCCCTCCCAAAATTAACACGACACAGCAGTGCAAAGTTTCACGAATTTGTGGCATTTCTCAAATTATGAGAGGGCCGTCGTGACTTGGCAGGATTCTGCCCTGCTCCACCTCCCCTGGCCTCAAGCCTTGGAAAGTTTATGTTAGCCCCCACCCACCCCCAATCCCACCACCATTTCCTTTGCCTGCCTCCTCACTCATTCTCAATGTTTATTTAATAATCCTGAAAGAGCTATTAAGCTTCCTGGGTTTAAATGTTTGCTAAACACCCTGTCAGCTCGACTTCGCTTGAGACGACCCGGGCTGTGGGGAGACAGTCCAAGCCTTGGGTTCTTTAAGGAATGGTAAGAAATCTGCTTGTTCCTTGGCAGACCTGCCCCCAACATGCACCCCTCCCCAAATGTGGGTCCAGGAGCCCCACAGCCTGGGACTCTGTGAGCTCCTCAAATAGAATGAATGGGCAATGGAGGGATTTGGCCTGGCCAGATCTGTCTCTAGTCAAACAGCAAGGGTCATCTGCTGGCTTTCACGGTGCAAGGGTCTCTGTGCAGGGTAGTTTACAACAGAGTAACACAAAAAGCAACATAGCGTGGATATGTAACACAGTTCCCATGAAGTGATGATGATGATAATAATGATGATGATGATAGTTGAAACACTACAATTCATAATAATCAGCAGTGCCAAATTATTCATGAATTGTTCAGTCACTGATGATCTCACCCAAAAGCTGGCTAGAAGGTGACGCCTTCAGCAGTTTCCTAAAAGAAAACCATGGTGTAGCTCGATGCACCTGAAGTAGGGAGAGTGCTCCACAGATGTGAAGCCACCATGAATTCCAGTGTTATTTGATTATTTGCTTTTTTCTAAACTGAAACACTTTTGGAAGCCTCCCTCAAGAACCAAGAATGCAGTCTCACCTGTCTGTCCATGGGAGCAGAATGCAACTGGCCATTGGGCCAGACTCTTTGCCTGGAGCCCCAGATGCCTAAAATTTGTGAATAGCAGAAGAGCATCCATCTCCAGAATCTGCCAGACTGCAAGCTGAAAAGGGGGCAGCTTCTCTCTCTCTCTCTCTCTCTCTCTCTCTCTCTCTCTCTCTCGGATGGAGAAAATGCCCTGGACCTTGGCGGCCCCCAAGCCTTCTGGGTTCAATTTGCCTTGTCACTAACACAGACAATTTCTGTCACAATAAACTGCACAGAATGGTTAATCTCCCTGGGTAACTGTGAGGAGATTAGGTTCTGCTCTTGCTTTTTTGCTGGGTGACTGCCCCTGAATGGCACGAGTGCTCCCTGCTTCCTGCTTGCTGGAAGGCTCTTCAGCCGCCTTTGTCCCAAGGGAAGCCCGGGGCTTTTGAGAGCCTTGCTGAAAGGCAGGAGGGCCCTGGGGGAGACAGAACAAGAGGCCTGCAAGCTCCCTGGCGCTGGGGGTTGCCCAACTCCCACACGCAGCACATTGGGAGGTAGCCTTCTGCTTGGAACATGCTAATATAGACATCTGAAAGCCAACACTGCTTAGACATTGTGTAG